TTTAAGTACATGTCATCTCTAATGTTTAACTCCCAAATGTTTATTAAACAAACAATGACTGAAAGTATAAAGGTCAAAAACCCTGACAGCTTTTTCAGAGTTACAGCTGAATAACTTGAAATGAAGACTTTCCATCATGTATTTCTCTTTTATCGTATTTATTTCAGAGTATGCAAGAGGATCATCATGATGTAGTGTTGATTCTCTCTATGAGCAAACAGCAGTTCTTTATTTACACATATCTTAAAGAAGGATGGATGGGGCTCCGTCTTTCCACTAGCACTCCAACTCAACCATCATCAAATCTCTGCCTCTGTCTCTGTGCTGCTATTACTACTTTTACTGTACTGAGCTGCTGTACCACAGGCATCTCCAAAATTACATATTGGTCTATATACATAGATCAAAATTTAATTTCTAATCAACTGAGCTTGCTTTGTGCACAGGGGCATGGTCATGGTGGATCAGGCTCCAGTGAAGGGAAACTGTAATGTTACAGCACACAAACACATCCAATACAACTGTGTGCTTCTAATTTTGTGGTACCAGTTTGGGGAAGAAGCACATATAGTTGTGATGTTCAGGTGTGCACAACTTTATGGCTATATAGTGTATGTTTTGACACAGTGTGACTCTGGGATTTGTGAAAAAAATCAGGAATAATAATTCATTGCTCCAAAAAAAAATAAAAGGACTGAGCTATCGGTTTAAAATGTTATTTTAAATTTAAAATGTTAAAATGTTATTTTAATTTCAAATGTAAAATGTGTAAAATGTTATTTTAAATAGCAGCTATTTGCTGATGTGTATTCACAGCAGCACGTGAGAACTTCCTTCCCCATAAGCCCCGTGCAGGAAATTGCGTCATTAGCGTGCGACGCCTTAATCGCGCGACGATAAGCGGAGGCTTGTAAGGTTTGTTTACTAATTTGTTCGCGCAGAATAATTTTATTTGGGAGTGTGTTCTTATTTAAGTCCTTTTCTGTAACTAGGAAAATGAAGTGCTAGATTAGAAACAGCTTTGAAGCACATATTTGGGAAAGGAAAAGTTAAAGCTTGGCAGCTGCAGGTGTTTATGTGGGAAGCTGCGGCGGTATTAAGGCTGAGGTTACAGCGACAGGCAACATGGCTTTAGATGGGATCAGCGTGTCGTTCCTGAAGTACGAGCTCGCCTCTACTATCGACCAGGCGGTGAGGTGCGCAGTGGACACGGTGTTAAAGGAAACGGCGCGGATTGTCGGCGCGAGGCTGACCGAGGCGCGTGACGCCGCCGCAGAGTCCCGGCGCGAGAACCGCACCCTGCGCGAGAGACTGGAGGTGTCGGAGAGCGAGCTGAAGGCGGTGCGCTACTACATGTCCGCCGCTGAGAAGAACATAAAGCAGTGCCTGCTGTTAAACCGACACCGACCTCCATCCAGCAGCACCGAGGATCTCCAGCTTTCCTCACAGGCGACCCCAGAAACCAGAGACTCATCTCATCTCAAATCCTTCAGGAACTCATCTGGAAGGAGTCCCGTCGCTAAAACCGTGCCTAGTGTCGGCCTGTGTTTACCCACAGTGCAATCCGACTGGCCCCGGAGCGTCATCAACCGACGGAGGATGCGTGCGAACAGCGCGTGCGCCATTAACGACACGTCGAGCCGAGCTCCTCTGGAGTCTGACTCTGTGCAGGCCGGAAGTGAAGAGCCCACAGAAGATCAGTTTTACATCTCAGAGGAAGGAATGATCGAGAAGGGTGCGTAGTCAGGTGATTCGTAAATGACTCTGTTCTCAAGGGAGTCGATTCCCAAGCACGTCATCACCAGATCCCCAAGCACAAGACTTTTTTTTTTTTTTTCTTTCTCCAAGGGTGTGACCCATGGCATGACTCATGACGTGATGTTTAGAGGAATTTAATCTGCATGGTGTTAAAGGAATAGTTTGGTCAAAGCGAAATGTACACAATGTTCCCTGTATCCCAAATCTAGCAGATCAGCCTGAACAAGTCTGGTGACAAGTTTTGCTCTGGTTAATGCGGCTCATGAGTGCTGGAAGCGTATAGCTACCAGTTTAGCTCTGTGTACACTGCATGTCTAAATCACTCACTTTCCCTCAGAGTCTGTAGTTTGTTTAGTTTTTGTTTGTTTAAACGAAATACGCGAATCATTTTAATTCCACATTTAGACTGTGGGCCACATCTGTGTGAGTCTGATGGAAAAAAGTGGTTCATGTGATGAAGCTCTCACTCCATACACACTCAGAAACCACATACACATAAACCTGTGTATTATTAACTGCTAGCTACAAGCCTCCCTTAGCATCCTCGCAGCTCCAAAGCAAAACTAAAGAAGCGACTTCAGACACCAAACCTGTCTTGACCGATTGATTAGATAAGATATGCTTTATTGTCTTGAGAGAAATTTGCCTTGGACATCATAGTACTCGCTGTGCAAATTCATCATAACCTTAACAGCATTCGGTTACAGAATTACAAAACACTGTAAAGCACATAAATCCCATTTGTACAAAAAAATGAACCATTACAGGCATGTAGAGGTGTACGGATTGTCAAAAAAAAGTCATTACAAACATACAAAGGTGTACGAATCGGTAAAAAAATCATTGGGTCACTTTAAATATCACCCCATTGAGTGGAGCACTTTATAAAATGGCTGTTTATTACAAGTGAGTATGACTTGTTCCTCTGTGTGTTGTAGAGTATAAGTCCTCTGCGGGTGCAGTGCAGGATTTTGGGAGAGTGCCTCAGGAGGAACAAGACAATGCAGGTTCGTCCGCGAAGGCCCCTGATGAGCCGTGCGACATCGGCAGGTTCGAGTTTGAGATGGGAGCTCCGGCGGGTAACGTCAACGAGCTGAGCCTCATTCAGGTGATGGACGCGAGCGAGGAGATCAAGCAGAACTCTGTGAAAGTCGAAGACGAAGCTGAAGTTCAGCCTTTAGACCCTCCGCCTATAGCTGCGGCTTCCTCTTCCTGTTCAAACATTCAACCCCAGATCATCTCGCCTCCCGTGTCTGCTGGCGATGTGGAGGCACCGCCAGGTCTGATGCCACCCGTCGAGGCGACTGACAAAGTGCACCGCTGTAACGTCTGCGGCCGAGGCTTCCGGCGCTTCTACTGCCTGAAGACGCACCAGCGCATCCACACGGGCGAGCGGCCATACCCCTGTCGCTACTGCGAGAAACGTTTCCGCCATTTGGACAGTCTGCACAAACACCAGCGCATCCACACGGGCGAGCGGCCATACCGCTGTGCTCAGTGCGGCTGCTGCTTCCGCGAACTGGGCCAGCTCAAGAAACACCGGCTCAAACACTCGCCCACCTCCGCTGCTCCGCCTGCCCACCCTGCACTATCGCTCCTCCCGGCGGCAGCCTCCTACACCTGGCCACACCTCAACTCCCAGTCTCTGGATCTGGTCTGAGTGCTCAAGCTTCCTGAACTACACAAGCTACACAAACACAAGGTTATTATGTGCCTGAGTTCAGAAGGTTAATCTGCTGCAAACACGTAATAGTAGCAATGAATGTTCAGTCTCGTTTAAAGCTGTTGTACACGCTGTATTGTAATGCAAAACTCAAACAAAGCCAGAGGTGCCTACATCTATGGTTTAGCAGGAGCATTTAGGATTTTTGATTTCTTGCTACGCTGATATGGGAGACACCTGAAAACTACGCTTTTCTGTTGTTGTTGTTTGTTTGTTTGTTTTTTTTTTTCCAGATTAAGCAGTGGTCAGAATAAACGCAAGTAAATTTCACATAGCGGAAAAGCCAATTCACTGAAGGGGAAAGGGCACAAGACATGAAAATCACAAAATGTCATCTGGTCGAGGTTACTTTCGCTTCACACCAACTTTATCTAGGCGAACGTTGACCTGTGAATTTACCAGCTTTCTTGTGAGCCAAGAGAAGTGGGCGGGACTTTGGTCTCTTTGATGGATAAAAGAAAATGGAGGAGGCTCTAATTATTACCAGACTTTTGCCTCGCTGTTTACTGTGCTGCTCGGTGCACGTGTGAAGAAGAATAGCCATCTCATCCACAGATAAACACTATCGTCTTTGTGGTAAAATTCTATTTTATCTATCTATCTGCTAAGATTTTCTTGTTTGCCATGTTGGCACCTCCACAAAGCTTCTCTCTTCAGTGTTTCCTGTGTAACCACGACCACAAAACACAAGCATGCATTCTGCTCAACTCGAACGCCTGAACGCTAGTGCAAGAGAGAGTTTTCTGAATGAACGTGCAAGCTGAGATGCCTTGTTTTCCTGATTAGCTGGAAGTTGGTGGTTCACGACATATTTGTTTTTCCTGGGGGGAGGGAGGGGGGCAGCAACACAGACTGGAATATAAGAACCTGTTTGTTAACAAATATTACAAAAAAAGCGGTCAGACCTAAAATTTGCTGACCGCAGCTTTAAGCGGTGAAACAAAACAAATAATGTATATAAACAAATAAAGTAAGTCTACTGTGAACACAGACATTAGAGATTAAACCGAACTGTATTTATGGATGTGTACGAGCATTTCAGTACCTCTGTGGAGCAAAACAACACAAATAAAAATGGTAATGCATTCATTTTATTGTGTCTATGGCAGCCAGTGGTTCATAAAGTATGCTGATTGTAGCTTTAATGTGCTTTGTGGTATGATATTGTTTAAAAATGCTGATGATATATTAAAATCTAACTTGACTGAATTTTGGTCCCACTGCATCTGTTTTAAAGAGGAACTGAGAGGGTGTTATATTTAACTGCCGATTCCGTCACGCTGGAGAGCCACAGATCCTGAAATAAACAAAAGCAGAAGGAAGAAGGAAAGAATGTCAACTTTTTACCCGTTAGCCCTTACTTGCGTCATGTTGTATGGTGAGATACAAAACGTCCAGATGTAATTTTAAACGTTTAAGGGAAAATCTGCCATGCACAATTTGCATATTTATCTTTGTAATTAACATAGAGCTTCAATAAGTGTCCACGATTTATTTTGTAATGAACTGGAGTTAGGGGGGCACAGTGGTGTAGGGGTTAGCACGATTGCCTTGTACCCCAGGGGTTGGGGGTTCAATTCCTGCCTGTGCCCTATGGCGAGTGTATGTTCTCCCCGTGCCCTGGAGGTTTCCTCTGGGTATTCCAGTTTCCTCCCCTAGTCCAAAGACATGCATTGTAGGCTGGTTGGCATTTCCAAATTGTCCATTGTGTGTGTGTGATGGGTTGGTACCCCATCCAGGGTGTCCCCTGCCCCTGTGAGTCCCCTGGGATAGGCTCCAGGCTCCCTGTAACCCTGTGTTGGATAAGTGATACAGAAAATGGAGTTGACTTTTTTTTTTTTTTTAAGTTTCAACTTCTTTCTTTGACATTTTGGTCTATTTACACTTGGTTTAATGATTTCCTATATTTCCCACAATGCTGTTCCACTACCTGCTGATAGTGGTGCAGTGGCATTTAGCCCTCACTTCATCTCGACCTAAAGAGAGCGATGCAGCAGCGCTTTAGTCTTTTAAATCTCCTCATCAGTGCACTCTGCTCAAGCAGATCAGCTTAGAAAACATCATCGTTCATGTTAAAACCGTCCACAGCATCACGTTCGTCATCTCATAGATCACTAACTATCCGAGCCGAGTCTCTGCCGTACATAACTCGACGTAACTGCTTTATAAAACTACACTGCATTCTGGCACTCTGAGTGCAACATTTGTACTACTTCTACACTGGAATTTTTATTTTTTTTTTCATTATTATGACATTGAATGTGGCTTGAAAATGGGGAGTGAGAAAAGAAGCGCTTGTCCATTGTAACTGTTCTAGCAGTGTCCCCCTGTGACATCAGCATGACACACAACCATCAACTTCTCACAGAAATAATAAAAAATACAGCCAACAAATCAGAGCCAGAATCACTAAAAACATATGACAAAAATTTCAGCAAAAAAGAAATATTTAATATGTTTCAGGGTGGAGTTTTTGTTTAATGCATAGTCTAATTCTTTCATGCTAATGCTCTCATCTGGATAATGCACTCAGGCAGTGAGGTAATGCCTTATGCATCATTTTATAATATAAAACTGAGTACATTTCTGCATGATTATCTAACATCCCGAACAAATGAACGTCTTTCCCCTTTTACAGAGTCACATGCATGGTCACGTGATCATCCCAAACCTTGGGGACGTCCCAAACTGCGTACTACCGCACTAAATAGAATGCTAGTACATTATCCTAATGTTAATACTACTCAATAATACACATCACTACTGAAAGTCTAGCGTACTAATTAGTATGTAAGGCCAAGGTGAGGACGTATCCATGGTTACGGTCAAAGTAGTCACGTGCAGTAGGTGGCGTACTTTTTTTTTTCCCATACTATTTAGCAGAGTAGCTAGCGGATTGGGACGGAGCCAAACTGCAGGCAGGAAGAGTCGGTTACAAACAGGGATGCTGTTAACAAACTGATAGCTACAGAAGAAATACATCAATCAATAAATAAATTTAGCCTTTTTGGTCGTGAGTGAAATGAGTGAAAGGTCGGTTAAGAACTCTTCATGTTGATTTTTTTCTCTCTTCGCGTCTGCAGCTTGTTTTGAAGAAGAAGAAGAAGAAGAAGAGTTGTACAGGTAACATGAACCGTTTAGCTTCAACTTAACCGCATATGTTTGTATACATACACATACAGTGGCATGCTGCCTTAAAGATGCCCGAACGTTATGTAGTGTTCCTCACTATCTGTTTTGGTTAGTTGTTTTGCTTCCTTGTTTTGCTTGACATTCTTTCACCAAACGGAAGTTACAAACGGTTTATTTTTTTGGTGGCTTGTTCAAATGCATGAAGTTTAAATCTTCCTTTTGTGTTCTTAATTGGTTTTCGCTTAATTAACCAATCTTAATTGGTATTCACTAATGTAAGAATATTACACGGGGACTAGTTTTTCAGTTGTAACAAATGGTTTTCTGCTAAAAAAGCATATGTACATGATTCATACTTCCAGTAAGTGTGTAAACACAAGGTGTACATTTGTTGCTAATGATCACATCAGTGACAGTTTTAACACTCACTTGTAATTCTGGAGCTTTCTTTCTTCTTCTTCTTCTTCTTCTTCTTCTTCTTCTTCTTCTTCTTCTTATTTATGATCTGATCTGTAGATTCATTTTGACTTCCCCTAATGTTAGATTTTCAGATTTCTCACAGAAATATAAGTTATGTAATGTTTTGTTTTGTTCTGTGTGTGTGTATGCGTGTAATACCTTACAGCTGAAAAAAAAAAAATCATTCATCTTATATCTATAGAGAATGTGTAATAATGTTACTTTAAAAAAATGTAATAATGTTACTAAAATTCTTTTATTTTTAATCAAATGTTCAATTTGTACAAGGTTTGATGGGGCAAAAGTGGCAGTGTTACTCATACATAGTTCATACACATCAATTTTGCATTAACACCAGGTATATTTTATATTTTAATATGTATTTTGTTACATTATTCAGTTAAATTGATTAATTTGTTTCAATTTATTTGATTGGTGAATGGATGTCAGAAAACAGCTGAGCACCATGCACATTTATCTGACCTTCATTTTATATATATATATATATAATGTATTCAGTTTCACACTCAGGTAGTATGTAATTCTAGGAAGCTTTCCCCCTAAAACTGTTATCTTATAAGCAGAAAGTGTATGTAGTTAAAGCTAGAGTCACAAGGACATTTTTTTACGCTGGTGTAATCCCTAAAGTCTTTCTGGTTTTCTCTTTCATGTGACTGCTGTCTTATTCGCATGTGATACAGTCTTGACATTTTCTCTTCTCTCAGCTGACAAAACTTTACTTGTACTTAAAAACAATCTGCTAAAAGTTTAAAGGAACTGGCAAAATAGGAAATAGGCAAAAAAAAAAAAAGGTAATATGACTTATGAACCATTTCATGGCTTTTTAACGGTACATTATTACGCTTGCTGTAGAATTTAAAAAAAAAAATTCAATAATAATGTTGGACATTTTAAATGAGCTTTATATAAATTGAGCTCCATGAAGTCTTATTCAGTATAACAGATAACATTTTATCTGTAGTACCTGGATAACATATAAAAAAATCATGCTTTAAAACTGTAAAATTGGTTATTTACTTTTTAAAATATAGTTATTACAATTTTCATTGACCTTTCATTGACTTTGGACTTCAATTTTCATCTTTCCACTGATCAATTTTCATACTATTTTATATCTCTGAGTCAGTGCAATTATTTTATTTTAATATTAATGTTGCCTTTATACTTTATGACCGGGATGCACTGATCCAATAGTCATATAAAACTCTGAATCGGTATAAGATCAGATTTTCCGATATGCAATGTTTGGTGACACGGCACAGGCCTTGAACATGAACTTTGGATATTTGCAGAATATGGATTAAGATTATTAGCTTTTATTGTGTATACTTAACCAACTGTATAAATGAGGTTAATTTATCACATGTCATAACCAATACCCTATACTCACCAAAACAGGAAGTCAGAAGTTTTAATTTCCTGTTTTTAGGTCATGGCGGGGGAGCGGAGTCGTCTCCTGCCCCATGGAGCGTACAGCATGTTGGGGGACAGTGCAGACTCCAGGAAGGCGTCCACGTCCGGGGATGACGCTTCCAAATCCAATCCCCGCAAACTCAACACCTTCTTTGGGGTGATGGTGCCCACCATCCTGTCCATGTTCAGCATCGTCCTCTTCCTGCGCACAGGTCAGTGAATGTGAGGTGGAGAGACATGGGGGGAATCATGACAATAAATTATCTATGTTAGGTGTGTGTGTGTTGGTGTAATACATATGAGTGTGTGTTGCAGGTTTTGTCGTCGGTCATGCTGGTCTTCTCCAAGGATTGCTCATGTTGGTTGTGGCATATTTCATCATTTCCTTGACCATCCTGTCGATCTGTGCTATCTCTACTAATGGGGCAGTGCAGGGGGGCGGAGCTTACTGTATCCTCAGCGAAGTGCATTTGTATTAGAACAAGAGCATTAATATAAACCTTGCAGTCTGAACTACTGTCAGAGCTGCTCTTATAGAAAATTCATCAACACCTTCAGACCAATCCAAATGAAGAATTCAATAAAGACCTATAATCAGATAATTATGTTGTTTATAAAAAGTGGATTTGCAATATAGCTATCGAATAGAACTGACTAGTTTCTTTATTTGAGGTTGTTTGCATTTTTCTGGGCCTCCACCCCGGGGAGAAAAAGTGCTGATTCTTAACCTCTGAACTCCAGACATGATCAGTCGCTCTCTGGGTCCAGAGTTTGGAGGCAGCATCGGCCTCATGTTCTACCTGGCGAAGGTGTGTGCATGCGGTGTGTACGTGCTCGGGCTGGTGGAGGCCATACTCAACGTTTTTGGACAGGATCCAGGTGAGCACTAGGTCAGATCTCTGGAAAATACATGAATTGATTCATTATATGCTCTGGCCATGTTCAGTATTTGACTTACTTTTGGAAGCTCTCAAGAACAGGTTTAAGTAGAATTTGTCAGCAGGGTTTTGAAATCATAATGAAATTACAGCATATTTCATACTAAACATGTTTACATTTCACAAATCATATTACCACATCAGACCAGTCAACAATTAATAAGCTATTAAAACAGGGGAAAATCTTAAAATCACCCTAAACACCCTAAAATGTAAAATCCTTGAATTCTATTCATAGCTGTCTTCAGTTTCATATATTCAGCTTGAACATGATCACGAATACAATTTTGCTGTATTAGAAACATTTCACAGGAGAATCGGAGTTAGTCTAGAACGTAATAAATGTGCTTCTGTTAGTTATTCTGCTGTCTAATGACCTTTTTGTTTGATTTTTGATTGCCACAAATGCTGAATATTCATGTGTATGTTGTAAGAAAGACATAATGGGTTGCAGTATTGCTGAGGCATTTCTGTTTTGTGTTTTTCTCTTTTCCGCTCTCTCCGTCTCTGTAGTTGCCGGGGTGCCGGAGGGAGTGCGCGTCCTGCCTCAGGGTTACTGGTTCTCAGTGCTCTACTCCTCCGTGCTACTGCTGCTCTGTTTGGTCATTTGTCTGATCGGCGCTCACATC